TCATCAGTGCCCTGATGATCGGTGCCGATCCCCGCTCTGACAACTGCCGGTTCTCGGCAGTACTTTCCTCACGATCTGACAGCGTGAGGAAAGTGCAGCCGAGAACCGGCACTTGCATTTTCCTGTGATCAGCGTGTCATTGGACACCGCTGATCACGTGGTAAAAGGCCGGTGGGATCGGCCTTTCACCACATCTCGTGATCAGCTGTGTCCGTAGGACACAGCGATCACGGAGATCGCCGGGTGCGCGCCCCCTGGGGCGCGCAGGAGAGCGCGTTCTGGGAGGACGTCATATGACGTCCACTCAGAACTGGCCGGCCGCGGTGAAGCCGTCATTCGGCTATGCGCGGTCGGCAAGTGGTTAAAGTGGTTGTAAAGGTAAATTTATTTTTTTAAAAAATAACAGACATGTCTATACTTATCAGTGAGACCGGAAGTGAGAGGAAAGAAGACGTGCACAGCGCTGGATCGAATGAGGGCTCAGGTAAGTAAAGGTATGGGGAGGGGAAACTGATGTCTAATCATTTTATTTTACCTTAATGCAAATATTTTGAAGAAAAATATATATTTTTTCGGCTATAAAAACTATATATTAAACTCAAAGTTAGTCATTAATTTAGTTCAAAATGTATTCTGCTACATGTCTTTGGTAAAAAAAATATCACAATAAGTGTATATTGATTGCTTTGTGTGAAAGTTATAGTGTCTACAAACTATGGTATAGATACTGCAATTTATGCCATTTTTTGCTATACAGTGCTGCACTAGTTTAACTGACAATTGCGCGGTCATGCAATGCTGTATATAAATAAAATGTATGTCCTTTTTTCACACAAATAGAGCTTTCTTTCGGTGGTATTTGATCACCTGTGCACTTATTTTTCATGCTATAAACAAAAAAAGACTGAAAAGATTGAAAAAAAAACATAATATTTTCTCATTTCTGTCATAAAAAATATCCAAAAAAACTCAAATTTCGTCATGAATTTAGGCCAAAATGTATTCTGCTACATGTTTTTGGTTACAAAAATCCCAATAAGTGTATATTGATTGCTTTGTGTGAAAGTTATAGCATCTACAAACTATGGTATAGATAATGGAATTTACACAGCTTTTATATTCTGACTGCCCATCACATTTCAGGACCGTACAAACACCCCCAAAGGACCCCTTTTTGGAAAGTAGACACCCTAAGCTATCTGCTGAGAGACATATTGAGTTCAGGAAGACTTATTTTATTACTACGTTTTTGGAAAATGACAATATTTTTTTTTTCTTTTTACACAAAGTTGTCACTTAAATGGTATATTTCTCACACAAGCCGTGGGTATAATGTGGAATTACACCCCCAAATACATTCTGCTACTTCTACCTAGTATGGGGACACCACACGTGTGAGCCACATACAGGACCCTGAAATCCAATGACCACTTTGAAAGCCTGAAGGGGCGTAACTTCCTCAATGCACTTTGTCACTACCCAACTACCCATCACAGTTTCGGAGACCCTGAAATGCCAGGATAGCACCAACCCCCCCAAAATGACCCCTTTTTGGAAAGTAGATACCCCAAGGAATTTAAAAAGAGGCATGGTGAGTATTTTACTTTTTTAAAGCAGACATTTAAAACATTGCTTTTACATGAAAGTCGATCGCCGCTGAAAAAAAACGATACCAGGATGATGCTTGCAGCTGCAGGCAACATTCTGGTATAACCACTCAAAGTGCAATGATATACCAGTACATCGCTGGTCCTTGTTGGGTGTATACGCTATGTTCTTTTTCTTGTATGCAGCCTGAGGGCTGAACGAAAAAAAGAAGAAATCTCTGCCAGAAAAAGAGTGTGGTATGCCCACCATTAGAATATACCGCCCTGCATCCACCCACTTCTAATGGTGGGCACACATGAAACGTATTAAAAATATTATAAAATATATATGCTAAAGCATAGGGGCCATCCACCCACTGGCCTCCCATCTACCCACTGGCCACCAGCGAATGAAAAATCTCATCCAACAGCACTGCACACACCTACTTGTGAGAGCAAGACCCTGTTGCTGTCAAAATAAACAAGTTGGTGCTGCAGCTGAATGACATCCTCATTTTTCAGGCAGGCCTTTTCCCCCTTTCTAAGATGGGTATTTACAAGCTGTTGGGGGAAGCCCTGGCAATTAGGTCACACGGTGTCACATATGCCAATTCCAAGATTGTACAAATGTCTAAATAGTGGCATGCCTGAATATAAATTGTCCACATATAAGCAGTGCCCCATATGGATAAAGGTTGACACCCAGTCCCAAACTATCTTGCCACTGCTCCCCATGTAGTTTGGGCATCCGGGGGGGCTCCACGTGACTCTCTTTTCCCTTGTAAATTTGAAACTTATATGTATAGCCTGTTTGCCTTCTCACAGGTCTTATACATCTTGACCCCATATCTGGCACGCTTGCTGGGGATAAATTGTTTGAATGCAAGGCGGCCAGAAAAATTAATGAGGGACTCATCAATGCAGGTGTTTTGCTGGGGAGTATAGACATCTGAAAATTTTTGGTTAAGGTGATTTACGAGGGGCCGAATCTTGTGGAGCCGGTCAAATCCAAGGTCACCCTGAGGAGTGTGTTGTCATTGAAATGCATAAAACACATTATAATCTCATATCTATGCCTTGCCATGACAGCAGAGAACACGGCATATGGTGAATCGGGTCTATGGACCAATACAACCGCAATTCATTTTTTTTTAGTAATGCCCATGTTGAGGGCTAGGCCCAAAAAAACTTTAAATTTGGAGAACATAATGGGTTTCCATGCGAATGGTCTGGCAAGGTTTAAATTTGTTTTGGCGGCGATAAATTGTTGTGCATATAAATTGCTTTGATCCACAATCAATGCATACAGATCTTCCGTGAAAAACAGCTCCAAAAAAATCAAGGGGAGTAGTTAAATTTGCTGTTTCCACCTGAATTCCAGGTTGGGCAGTGAAGGAGGGAAGTACGGGTGCTGCAGAATTTCTGGGATACCAATCCGGATTTGTAAGCAGATCCGGAAGGATACTAGGGGCTCTACGGTCCTGTGTGCAAATTCTTGGTGGCTGCGGGACACTACTTATGCTCGCCACAGCACCAGCTTGTACTGCACTTATGGGACTCTCCACGTCACCAATACTGCAGTGCTGGTATGTGTAAGACCAGGATCTACTAGGCTGCTGGTGCTCGCCAGTTCACCAAAAGGTATAGCAGCACTAGCACTAGCACTGCTGCATTTTATCATGCAATTGTAACATCTCAGCAACCTGGGAATGGAGTCGGGTACGCCTGATCTTAGCAGGGACCTCTTCTTTATCGTCTGGGTTCCGCTGCGGTCTACAGGTTCGTAAGCAGCATAAAGTGGTACTGGACTCCAAACCAAAATCGTAATATATTACAGCTTACCCATCATTAAATGTGTTAGCTGCATTTGTATTCCTTTTTAGGCTTTTCCCCATGTATTCATTTGGAGATTTGGCCAATATCATACCTCCTGTATTAGGGTGCCTACACTCTGGATGAAAAAGCACAGGGGCACCTTTGGTCAGCAGCATTGGTAATCTGGGAATGAGGGGGGTTAGGAGAGTGTAAAAATGCATTAGCAGTTTTAGATACACTGAGAAATTGAAGCTAAAACACTGCTATAAGCAGTTACAGCAATAGTTTTCAGCAGCAGCTTTTTGTTTCCTTTAACAGGTTCTAAATGCCAGGCAGTCACAGCGGACACATGGTCAGAAAGCTTTTTGGTGGGAGCACAGGGTGCACATTCTCAGCACAGAAAGATGTTTACATGACCTCTCGACGTTAAAGCCCACCCACTGAGAGGCTGCATATATGCATACCTCCAGTAGACAATGGTTAAGCATAACTCTCAGCAGTAAATGTTTGTCTCAACTCTGTAATTGCTACATCTGCAGGATGCGGTGTTCTTCTGAAAAACAACAGACTTACTGGCCAGATCAGCAGGTGAAAATAAACAAAAGAAAGCCTAAAAATGAAAACTAATGCAGCCACCACATCTAAGAATTGGTAATACACGTTTGCTTTTGGGTTTAACACCACTTTAAGATTTATCAAAGTGATAAGTATAATGAGTACATGTGTGTTACAAAACTATAATTTACACCAAAACTACTAACCAGTAACACTAACAAAACCCCATTTGTTTCATATGTGTGTGCTTTTTCTGACAACATCCTTTTGTAGCTATTCTTCTTCCCTGGAATGTAGGGGATAAGTTGTCCTTGATAGTTTCTGCAATCAGAAAACCTAAGGCTACTTGCACACTAAGCATTAAGTCCATGTGCATCCAATCCCAGTGGTTTGGTGTACCCAGGAGGCACAGGGCAGTGTCCAGCTCGGCTGCCTGCAGCCTAAGTCTATGGCAGGTTGAAATATGCTGTGACTGGAGGGGGCTGAATGATATACCGGAGTGGTACCTGTGGTAAGGACCCTATGCACTCAGGGATGTAAGCTCAGAATGTAGAATACCTGCGTTCTCAGTATACGAACGAGTACCACTAAGTACAGCATTCAGTCGCAGAGTATTTTAGCCTTTGGCAGGCTGCAGCCAGTTGGATTAGAGGCTGCACCTGTGTGTCCTGAGCACACTAAAATGCAAAGATAGGATGCACACAGGCTAGATGAAATGTGTGGAACATACAACCTATCAACTGAACCCTGATTCAATTTCCACCTCCTACCTAAACGATTTGTCTTCCAAGTCCTAGAAAACGTGTTATGGTTTCTACCTACACTGCTCTTAATAAAAAAAAAAAAAAAAAAAATTAGAATAAAATCACAGTGTGTATCACCAGTTACAGGAGGAGAACTGGAACAAACAGTGTTTGACACAGTTTTAAAACCGTAAAGCAATAGAGACACAGATGTAAATCATATTTCCACAGCATAGTCACACCCCTCTACACTAACCAACATTACAGAAGATACAAGAAAATGCACATAAGATTTGCTTACTTTGGGCTTTGCCAGCTCCTTAATTCTAGCTATCTCTTCATTGGTTAAAACATCAAGATATCGCACAATACGGGGACTATCCCATTCATCTTCCTCCTTAATAGGACTCAAGATCAATAATGGGTTTCTGTTTCCATTGTGATACCGACAGAAAAGCCTTTTCTGCCTCTTTGGAGTCTAAAGAAAAAAAAAAAAAGCAAAATTTAAATACAGGTATAAAAAAACTATTACAATTGTTACAGTTAACCTAAGCAAAAAAAATATATAATATATAGAAACTGCCGTTGCTGATTTGTGTTTAGACGTGCAGAATCCAGGGCTGTCATTCTGACTATGGCTACACCATCTATTGATTCACTCATTAGAAACAACCATGCAGGCAACCAGCCATATAACCCAAATGTAAAGACTTCCTGTGTCCGAACAACCCTAACTTTCCAGAATCCATAACCCACTCTTAACCAATCCATAACGAAGGTCTTCATTTAACCAGTGCCACTATTAAACAACAATTACCCTTGCATGTTGCACTGGAGAAATTTCCTTATTTATCCAACAATTAATTTCTCTTTTTAAAAAGGTAAAAATCTTATATTGCTTCTATTGTTAAAAAACTCTCTCAAAAACATACTGCACATTCTTTTCAGCTCTCCTAATTGAAGCAAAACCAGTAATTTCCAGTTTTTATCTTACTGCCAAACCCCAGTTAGCTGCAACTACTGTAGTCTCAACAAACTTTGCCCATTTTCAGCAGACAGTCTTCCAAGTTCCTTTTGATTATGCTGGAGGACAATTAAAGTGATACTAAACGCATAATCTTTTTTAATAACAAACATGTTATACTTATCTGCTCTGTGCAAGGGATTTGCACAGCACTCCGGGCTCCTCCCTCTTGCTGAGTGCCTCCATAGGAAGCTGCTTGCTATGGGGCACTCGTGCAAGCTCCGCCCCGCCCCCGCTTACTCTTCACTGGCTGTAATGGACAGCAAAGGGAGTCAATGGCTCTTTCTGCAGTCTCTGAGCCAAAGAGAAGGCAGAAAGCCGGGATAGCAGCTGCTCTTGTACACAGCTCTGGTTTGGGATTGAGCTTGGGTAAGTATTGAGAAGTGGGGAGGGGGCTGAAGGGGAAGCTGCATACTGAAGTTATTTTACCATCATGCATAGAATGCTTGAAGGTGAAAATCTTTCAGGCTTTACAAGCACTTTTAAGCTACAATGTATCAGGCAAGGTGCTCTGATTTTTTTCATCATTTCTACATACCTCCCCACGGAATCATAGCTCACAGGCTTAAGTTCTGCCTCCTCTTGTCTCAAATGTGGACGTTTACGTGGTTCTAAAGGCAGAAGGTGTTTTTTTTTACCTTACTGCAGAGAATGCCTGAAGGTAAAAAAAAACACTGTGTGCATCTCCCCCTGATGCTTACCTGAGCCCAATCTCAATCCAGCACTGTGCACGAGAGCAGCGCCTCTCTTTGCCCTTTCTCCCCTCACTAGACATGGAGCCAACAGTGGGAGCCATTGGCTCCTGCTTCTGTCAATCACAGCCTGTGAGGAGACAGCGGGGGGGGGGGGGGGGGCCAAACCATGCTGTGTGTGTGTCTAAGGAAACACAGAGCATGGTTCGGAAGCGATCCCTCACGAGTGTCCCTATAGCAATCAGCTTGCTATGGGGGTCACTCGGCAGGGGGAGGGGTTCCAGGAGAGCTATTGGGAGACCTGAGAAGAGGAGGATTGTGGTTGCTCTTTGTAAAACCATTGCACAGAGTAGGTAAGTATACCATGTTTGTTATCTATCAAAAAAAAATAAAAAAATAAAAATGTTTCTGTTACAATTACTTTAAGACACAGACTTACACCCAGCGTTCTGGGCTTGCCCTAAGATCAAGCAAAATTGGGTAGCAGTAGTGCGTTACACTGCTTTGCATCTAGTTAACTACCTGCCTTTATCTCCGGAATATCCCTGTGTCAGGATTTCTAAAAAAATATTCCGCGTAGAGTAGGTGCAGGCTTCTCTAGATAAAGAAACCCAGATTTCTTTTATTGTTTGGGAATCATTGATTTAAATGTTAATTATTGATACGCAACAATTCATAGTACAATGTTTTTGATACACTTAGTGGTATCAAACCAAACTACTTCTAAAGGAACCCAGATGTTGAAGTTCTACCTTCCAGCTAAACTATACACTACAGTCTTACTGCCTGGGGCCTTCTCATGTACTATTAGGTGTACAAACAACTGGCAACCATTCACGGTTTGATTAATTGGCAGATGAAAAGATTGTTTTATTGGCTGACCCCTCCTGACAACTATCGGACCTTATGTTACTGGCCAGACTTCATTTTGTGTTGTCATGTGACTATGAATCTGTGCTACTTTACTGGCCAAATGTTGTGGCCATACTTATTGTCAACTGCATGCTCACTTGTGTGCCTCAATGCACTAAAACTGTTCACAATAAAGAAAACATTAAAACCTTTAAAGTAGAACTATAGCCAAAACGTTTTTTTTTTTTTTTTTAATTTTTGATAGACCAAAGAACCCTGTCAGAATTTTTTCCGCTATCTGTATCCCACTGCAGAGATTTCCCTTCACTTTTTGTCCCACAGCCAAACAGGAAGTGAGAGGAAATCCCTGCATTTTAACTGCATTCCTTGGGGACCCCCAGGTCACCAGAAATACGGTCCCCATTGGAAGAAAAAAAAAAGGAAGTTTTGCCTTTAGTTATACTTTAGATCCCTTTTGAAATAAATAGCCAGGCAGGGAAGCAACACATTAAAACGATACAAACTTTTGGACATTTTTGTTGATACTAGACTCAGACCGTGCACAGGGCCTAGACTTGTCTCCAATTGCCAACCCCTCCCAGCGTAAGCACTGTCATTCAAATGGCAAATGCCAGAACATCCACTTCCCCAAAAAAGCTATTGATGTTTCTGCCAGAAGTGCATTTTTAATGCTAGTTTTCTAAGGTTACAACATTTGTTTTATATACCCATAACTAAGCGCATAAACCAAGAACATAAGGCAATAATATTTACAAGCTACTGTGTCAGTTACCATTCTCACACTCCCTCTCCACGGCACAGAGCTTCATAGGTCTCACGTTCAGGCAGATAATCTTGAGGCCTGGTATAGACATCAGGGCGCGACTTGTGTGGCTCAGTGTCTGACGTCTTGTTTATTTTCTCTTCAGTTTTCTCTCGTTCTAGCATCTTTTCAAAATATTTGAGGTTAGTGCCAGCTCGGTCATGGTTTGGATCTATAATAAAAAATGGAAACTGTGTTTTTCTAAAACCATCTTAATATCAGCATGTTACACCCCCATCAGCATGTTACATCCCAAGGCCTTCAGTGCTATTGTTTCTGAAAGTTTTCCTGACACCAAGAGAAAAATGGTGACAGAGAAGGACCTCCAGCAGATTGACAGCCTCAGCTCTGTTCATGTAAGCTGCCTGAAGCGGGGGGGGGGGGGGGGGGGGGGGGGGTGGGGGTGGGGGGGGGGGGGGGGGGGGGGGGGGGGGGGGGGGGGGGCTCTCTTCCTTTCAATCAGCTCTGAAAGCTTTTCTCACTGAATACTGCGGTATGTAATTTCATTCTCTGACCCCTTTTTTCTGACAACTCAGACAAACTTTATAAATCCTGGACTTTAAACAGATGTAGAGAAGAGGATTACAGGACAGTCACTTCACTGGTTAAATGTAAGGGTTTACAACTACTTTAATGCATTCTCTGCATTCAGGTAAAAAAACCTTTCAATGTATGTCCCCTTCCAGAGATACTTAACTGAGCTTGATCTCGATCCCATGGTGTGCTGGTCTGCAGCACTGCTGCTCTTCTCTCCTCTCTCACAGGAAGGGTCTGCAGTAGCAGGAGCCATTGGCTCCTGCTGCTGTCCATCAAATCCTATGAGCAAAATGATGTCAAAAGATGTAGACAGTGCAGCTCGGGATCAGCCCCACACAAGTGCCCTCATAGTGGCTGGCTATCGGGGCACTCAAAAAAAAAAAAAGGAAGAGCCAGAAGCACCAGTGGGTAACCTCAGAAAAGGAAGATCAGGGCTCCAAAACCATTACACAGAGCAGACAAGTATAAAATGTTTTTTATTTTTTTATTTTAATAACACATTAAACCTTTCCAATCACTTTAAACCCTAAAGCAAAAATCATATTGCAGTTTAACAATTCTTAGATGTGGTGGCTGCATTCATTTTATTTTTGTAAGCTCTTTTCCTTTATTTTCACCTTATGATCAAGCCAGTAAGTCTGTTTTTTTTAATCTTCCTTTAAAAGACCAAACTGTCCAGCAAAAGTGGCTGTTAGTGGGTTGAGACACATCATTTACTATTGACAGCTGTATGTAAAATGGTCAGCTTTTATCTATTTATGTAAAACCTTTATTTAAAAAAAAAAAAAAAAAATGGAGTTCAGCTTTGATTTGTTAGTCAAGTTCCTATAAAATTCTGCTAGTTTGACACTACCCTACAATGACAATGCTGCTGCTCAAAAGGTGACTCAGACTCAGTTGCTCCTCCATCCAAAGTGAAGACACCCTAAGACGGAAAGTGTGTTGCTGGATCACCAGAAAATAAAGGGAAAAAAACTATTAAAAAAAAAAAAACAAATTCAGCCACCATATTAAGGATTGGTAAGCTGCAACATTGGAGGCTGGAGGTTTTGTAGAGTTTTGGGTAGGAAAATGCTTCACTTCACAACAAACATAATTTATTGGTCTCAGATGTCCAAAGGCCTTCATATATACAAGCTGATAGATGCTCAGGGCTCTCTCTCACCTTCTATGCTGTGAGTGTCTGCTGCTATGTGAAAAGGCAGACACCTGAAACACTTAGACCTCATGCACATGGACATTTAATAGGTTAAAAATCCTTGAGCGTCAAATCCCCTATGCTTTCCGACACTCAGGGAGCCGCAGGTGCCACTTACAGCCACCAATACATGTGAATGACCACACACAGATGCAAATCTGCATCAGTGTTAACCAGCGCAGTAGAAAGCATTTCCTAATGCCCCACTCTCACATTTGGCAAAATAGGCTGTATGCACATGTGCAGATAGGTGCCGATGCACAAGGAACTAGCATTTACAAGTGTACAGCCAAGTGCAGTCATTTGTATTGACTGCTATAAGCAGCATCTGTGACTCCCTAGGCACGGGAAAGCACTAAGCCTGGGTCACATGTGGGTTGCGGTATATCGCATGTGATTTGCACAGGAACCGCACCGCATTCCTGTGCAAATCATGTGTGATTTTGTGCGGTGTGCGGTGTGATTGGAGCCATACATTTTGTATGGCTCTATTCATACCACACCAAAAACATGCAGGTCCCTATTCACACCTATGCGATCCGATTCTGCACATCACACTGCGTTTTGCGGACCGCTTTCAGGGTTTTAACTTAACATACATACCCACAGCAGTTCGCATGAACAGGGTGCGATTCTGATGTGGTGTGGAATTTGCACTGAAAACGCTGCAAATTCTGCACCGCATCAGTGTGAACCAGGGCTAAATGACTTTGATGATAATAAACGGTCTATGTGCACAAGGCTTAAAAGTTACCAGAGCAGCATGTTTGCTTTGGGGAACCTATTAAGGGGCAACTTGTAAGTTAAGAGCTGATAATAATTCAGTTTGTGGTTCAGACGAGAAGACTGTTTTTATCTCCTAAAGACTTTCTGTACAAAGTCCTCCTGCAATGAAACCATATTTGTTTGCTACCTTACTAGGTTTTGCAGGACAGTCCTATTTGGACTGTTTCTGGGTGTCACTATCTCATGCATGGTTTACCATTGCCAATGCTATTTGAGCCTGAGTGGGACTCTTATTCTTTCTGAAATTCTGGGGTGTCATTTCTGAAGTTAGTTTCTACTGGATTTGTGGGTGCCCTTCTTTGGAGTTTGGAAACACCCCCTGCACTCTTGTGGACTTTACGTTGAGCACTGATTGCTTTTGGAAAGGACTGACTTTTGTTTTTCACATATATTTATTGCATTGATTATTATTTCACGTTTTTACGACAGCACTGCACTTTGTGCTTCGATGTCTGCTTAAGGTTTTTTATATCTGTTAACCTGTGCTAGCAGCTGTCTTTTTTTTTTGACATATCTTTAATCCTAGCATGGAACCACACATTTATAATTGGGCCTGTTCCCATTACTCCTTGTACAAAAGAGTGATCATCATCAGTTCTAGAGCTGTAAATTACATTCCAGTTCCCTATTCCTCCAATGAGAAGTTTAGGTGCTGTGCATAATATTTGCTTTGTCTTTGGACCCCATTTATAAAGAAGAGATGAAGCCTTAGCAAGACATGTATAAAGCACAGCCAAGTGACTTACAAATGTGCATTACACCCTGTTTTTTTGGGCTTGTTTACACTGTGGTGCTCTCTGAAGAGTGATCTGTACTAGGGATGCACCGAAATGTTGGTGTCCGAAACGTTTTGGTCAAAAAAATACCCCTATTGGCCTTTGGCTGACATGAAAATAGGCACCGATACAGGTGCTGAAAATAGCCCTGCCGCCGCCTTTTTGTTCTCAGACTTACCTATGCTGGGCATAGAAGGAAAGAGGGCCTCCACTCATCTCTATGCCTTTGGAGGACTGGAGCGACATCATTACGGCACTTCCAGTTCCGGCACCTTGTAAACAAGGCCATTTTTTTTTTTTAAAGCACTAGATCAATGTTTCTTTTTTAATCTAATGCTTTACATTGCAAAGGAGAGATGTGGGATCTAATTGACCCCAGATTTCTCCATAAAAAGGACCTGTCACTGCTTATTTCTGTCACAAGGGATGTTTGCATTCCTTGTAATAGAAATAAAAAATTAAAAAAAAAAAAAAAGGACAGTGTAAAAAAAAATGTAATAAAATAAATGTTTTAAAAAAAATGTCTAAAGTGCCCCCGTCCCATAAGTAAACTGTGTTCAAACCACACATGATGGCATCGCCGTGAACATCAGAGCAAGAGCAATAATTCTAGCACTAGGCCTCCTCTGTAACTTTAAACTGATAACTTTCCCCCCTAGACTGTAAGCTCCAAGGAGCAGGGCCTTCCTATCCCTCTTGTTTTGAACTGTATTGTTGCTGTATTGTCTCCCATTATATTGTAAAGCGCGGAGCAAACTATTGGCACTATATAAATTCTGTATAATAATAATAATAACTTGTAGAAATTATTAAAGCATCACCCATGGAGATTTTTAAGTACAGTAGTTTGGCGCCATTCCACGAGCGTGACATGTTGGGTATCTATTTACTCAGCATTACATCATCTTTCATATTTTACAAAAATTTAGGGTATACAGTTGCAAGAAAAAGTATGTGAACCCCTTGGGATTACGTGGAGTTTTGCATGAATTGGGCATAAAATGTGCTCTGAACGTCATCTAAGTCACAACAATAGAAGAACACAGTCTGTGAACATAATACTACACAAACATTAGATGTTGCCATGGTTTAATTGCACATAACATGTAAACATTCACAGTGCAGGGAGGAAAAAGTATGTGAGGCCCTAGCTTAATGACTTCTCCCAGAGCTAATTGGAGCCAGGAGTGAGCCAACCTTGACTCCAATCAGTGTGATGATATTGGATGTGTTGCTGACAGCTGTCCTGCCCTTAAAAAACACACACCTGTTTTGGGTTTACTGGTTTCAAGAAGCACTGTCTGATGTGAACCATGCCTTGCAGAAAAGAGCTCTCAGAAGACCTACGATCAAGAATTGTTGACTTGCATGAAGCTGGAAAGGGTTACAAAAGTATCTCCAAAAGCCTTGATGTTCATGTGTCCACTGTAAGACAGACTGTCTACAAATGGAGAAAGTTTAGCACTGTTGCTATTCTCCCTAGGCGTGGTCGTCCTGTAAAAATGACTGCAAGAGCACATCGCAGAATGCTGCATGAGGTAAAGAAGTAGAATCCCAGAGTGTCAGTTAAAGACCTACAGAAATCTCTGGCACATGCTAACATTTTTGTTGACACATCTACAATAAGGAAAACATTAAACAAGAATGGAGTACATGGGAGGACACCACGGAGGAAGCCATTGCTGTCCAAAAAGAATATTGCAGCACGTTTGAAGTTTGCAAAAGAGCACCTGGATGTTCCACAGCACTACTGGCAACATATACTGTGGACAGATGACACCAAGATTGAGTTGTTTGGGAAGAACACACAACACTATGTGTGGAGAAAAAAAGGCACAGCACACCAACATCAAAAACCTCATCCCCACTGTAAAACATGGCGTAGGGAGCATCATGGTTTGGGGCTGCTTTGCTGCCTCGGTGCCTGGACGGATTGTTGTCATTGATGGAAAAATGAATTCCAGAGTTTATCAAGACATTTTGCAGGAATACGTACGACCATCTGTCCGCCAACTGAAGCTCCGCAAAGTCTGGGTGATGCAACAGGACAATGACCCAAAGCATACAAGTAATTCAACAAAACAATGGCTGCAACAGCACAGAATACGCCTTCTGGAGTGGCCCAGTCAGAGTCCTGTCCTCAACCCGATTGAAATGCTGTGGCATGACCTTAAGAGAGCGATTCACACCAGACATCCCCAAGAATATTGCTACACTGAAGCAGTTTTGTGAAGAGGAGTGGTCCAAAATGACTCCAGATCATTGTGCAGGTCTGATCTGCAACTACAGGAAACGTTTGGTTGAGGTTATTGCTGCCAAAGGAGGGTCAACCAGTTTTAAGTCCAAAGGTTCACATACTTTTTCCTCCCTGCACTGTGAATGTTTACATGTTATGTGCAATTAAACCATGGCAACATCTAATGTTTGTGTAGTATTATGTTCAGCAGTCTGTGTTCTTCTATTTTTGTGACTTAGATGACGTTCAGAGCACATTTTATGCCCAATTTCATGCAAAACTCCACGTAATCCCAAGGGGTTCACATACTTTTTCTTGCAACTGTATATTGCGTTTAAAAAATACATACATTTTTAAAAAGCATGTGGAACATGTTCTTTTACAATGATGAATACTATATCTATTGATATGGTATTCCAACTATATAACATGAAGACCTTCAGAAAAGATTTCTGAGACTTTATGTAAACTCTTAAATTATTGCAAGTGCTCTAAGCTGAAGGCAAGCGAATACTGGAAGACCATTCAAGTACCACTGTACAGCATTTCTCAATGCAGTTCTCAAATAAGAGAAATATGCATTTCTGATACAAGGGGCACTGCAGGGGAAAGGCTCCAGTTTAGTTTGCTTGCGGGCTCCATCTTTTACCTCCTACAGTTGGGTAATTGTTGGGATACAGTAGATGATCATTTCTGTCCTCATCTCAGGCCTTCATCGACAGGTAAGAGGGTACATTTTTCTGACAATTAGTTTATCTTTATTACCTTTAAGTGATTCCTATTAATGTTCTACACCATCACAGCATAATGGTTACCCATTGTCTGCTCAGTAAATTGGTTTTTCTTTTTCTCCTCTCAGTAACATGTAACATCTAGAGTTTGGAAACACTTCTACAGTGTAATTTCGGCTCAGAGCAAAGTTGCAACTTGCAAATATTGTGAGAAGAAATATTCTTTTCCAAATGCTACAAAGGATGACAAACACATCCTTGCATGCTGAGGTGCCCTAAAGGCATTAAAAAAATACATTATGGATTTAAATGATTAGGACCAAAATGAAAGTGCAAGCAACTTTTCCCTCCATGGTTCTCAGTCCATAAACTCTGCTATTGGTGCTAAGGGGCAAATCTGAATTTTTTTTTTTTTATATTGATGGTTTCTTGCTTTTTTGCTGCTTTTGAAGGAAAGGGTAATAGTTACCGGTTCTCATGTATAGTTGAAATGTTTCTAACATATACAGTCCTTGGTATTCCATTTGTAATAAAAAAAAAAACAAACATTTTAAAAACAAGTTTAGTTTATTTACTGAATAAGCTGAACTTTTATTTCACGCATAATACTTGTATATGCACTGCATTTCATGTTCCCATTGTAACAAAACGACTTTCAGAAAATTTCCATTTTTTCCAGGAAAAAACGTTTTTCCCATGGCTTCAAAATTTCCAGAAATTTTACATCTCTAGGCTCAGCAGTGTGGCTTTACAGCCCTAGCTAGTGAAAACGAGTCCTTCTCGCTTCAGAGCCTAAAATCATATACACTTATTAGATAGGAAATCAGCGATGCATTGAATTCTAAAGTGTTAAACCTAGATAACGGGATGAAAATTACTCTCCTACCTAGTTGTCACTGGTCAAATGCCATCTACAAAGTTGACAAGGTAAAACATTAGTAGGAAATTTGTGAGCTACAAATGCATGAAGGTCTTTTACTTACCCATTGCTAGAAGTTTTCTGGTAAGTTCCACTGCTCTTTGAATGTCGCCAAGCTGAAAGACTGTGTAACTGAGGTAGTCTAGTACATCCACTTTAGAGATGGTGGCTGATTTTTCCCCTTCATCCAACAATTTCAGAGCTTCTTGCATCCAAAGTACAGTATGATAATGGTCACTCTCGTGGTAGGCTATTTTTCCCATACCAAAGCAGTCATCCACGGATAAAGATGAAACATATTTTGTTCCTAGAATATAACATAAAAAGACAATCAAAAGCAGACACAATAAATAACTTGGGCTTCGCCATTATGAACACAGGATTGGCAAGGTTTCAAAGTAATTTCATTAAACACGGCTGTAGAGCAAATGTGTCTAAGCATGGTCTAGATTATGCATTTCCACTATATATTACATTGGTATGTATTCCAACTACAAAGCTGAAAAAAAGAGAAACAGCAATTTTTGAAAACAAGCCACCTGTGGATGGCCACATATACATGCCATACAACAAAAGCTTTGGAACAAAAAACAGCCATAAAAGCAAACCTTCGTCCTTAATCACAGCACTTCAAACCAACAATTGTGCGAAATGCAAAATTATTGTTGATTTAGAATATCCCATGTAGGGGGATATTATATATTAATTAATAATTTAGCATTTTGCACAATTGTTGGTTTAAAGTGCTGTGATTAAGGACGAAATTGTATGCAAGCACACAGTGTTACACACAGCAGCTATCTTTTGTTTTTTTGTTGTTTTTAGGTTTAGCAAAATGTAGTTAATATTTGTAGTCACTAAGCTGCAGGTGTTAAATAGGCATTCATAAAAGAAAACCTGTCATATTAAAAATATACAGGCTGTCATTTTTTCTATCTCTTCATCTGAAAACGATAGCGGTCTGACTTGCTGACGCCTTACAGTGACCCCAAACAAGCAAACAGGTAGGAATTTGTGATTTTTTTTCCCTTTACTTTCCTAATATCTAGAGTATCAAAGCCAGAGGATCAGTAAATCGGCAAGAAAACTACCATTCACAAAAGATGGTCACCAATGGCACCCCTTACTCTTGTGACAGGTTTATATTGACAGCATTTTTTTTCTATTGGATGGTTGTCTTATACGTACAGGTATTTTTTAATATAATTTTATATTTTATAGTTCTGCTAGGAGAGAAAAAAAAATTAAATTAGTTAATTAACATCTCAAGTTGTTTCCATCAGGGATGCAATGGTTAATGGAATTTACTGTTGCATAGCAGGATCCACTAACTGCACAAGGCACAAGCAGTGCCTGCACACCAATACTTGAAAGGTTTAGCGGTATTTTAAAGACAACTTTCAGGTATACATTTGTGTATTCATATTTTTAATCTAGTTATGGGTGCATCAAAAAAAAGAAAAAAAAAATCTTTAAAAAGGTTTTTGCTTTTTTAAGCAAACATGTAAATTAATCTATCTGGTCTCCTGTACAGTAGCACTCAGACAGGAAGAGGGAGGAGGAGCACTATAAACTAATCTGTCTGTTTCTAGTTCAACACTGGGAAGATAGTATGGTGATGAGGTCATCATGCTATGTCTCTTTCACTGTTCAGTCCCAGGCTGATGGCTGTGCATGTCCTAGACTGTATGGCCTAAATATATATATAAAACTGTAACCTTCAGAGGGGCTCAAGGAGTTCAGCACAGTTATACAGTCTGTTAGGGATGCATGTATCACAATATTAGTTGATCCTTTGGAAAGGAAAAAAACAACATAAATATGGCTGAGCAGTTAGCTTTTTTTGCTTGGGATTTATCTTTAAGACCATTTTAAAATGATGTAAGCCTTTAACATATGTTTTAAACATGGTTTGCACTGACCTGGCAATATTCCTTTTGCTATAACATCAGGATCCAGTTTGTAAGTGTCTTGGAGGCGCATTAATGCTTTGGCCGCTCCAGTCTCATCTTCATCACTTGGAAAGAATTCCCTTTGAAATGTAAGGTTTGCAATAAAGCCTGAAACAGACAGACAATGAGTCATTCATGCACAATGTGGCCATTTCTCCATGTGGAGTACTTGCAAAGACACAACTATAGATACAGTAAACTGTGAACCTGCTTAAAGAACAAAAATGAAATTTGAAGTCCATTCTTGAAACACAGCCAAAGTTATATTGAACCCAAAAATCAAAGCCTAATATATTGCAGCTCACCATTTCTTAGTTGTGGAAGCCAGATTAGTTTTAGTGTTTATTTAGGATTTGTTTCCTTTACTGTTCACATGTGATCTGGCCAGTGAGTCTGCTATTTTTCAACTTCCTTTACCAGAGCAAGCTGTACGAGAGAAGTGGCAGTTAAATTAGTTGAGACAAACCAATTGTTTACAATGGTCAGCTTTTCTTCTTATTTTTATGTAAATTCTTTATCCCAAGGGATTCAAAATAACACTGTCTATGGCTGCTTAGAAAGTAACTGGAGTTCAGCTTTAAAAATGCCTACAACCCCCCCACCCCCCAAATGCAGCCATCACATTTTGCACATAAGTAAGCTGCATTATATTAAATGTTAGTATTTGGTTTTAATACGACTTTAATGTTTAAACAATGTCATGTTTACATGTTTTACTCTGGACCAGCCCACCTGGAACCAAATTTTGCTTGACTCCTCTAAGTATTCTTGCAATATCTTTGCTCAGGAAGATGCCTATAAATTTCTTTTCTATATGACCATGGTGTGAGTAGCCAAATTTGTTCCCTCTGCATCCCCTCCTGTTTCAGGGGTCACAGAGAGCCTGGTACTCTCCTCCATATTTAGTGGTCATGCCCGAAAGCTTTGTGGTTTTGGACTCCCTTCCTTGATGAAGATCCAGAGGAAGGTGGTGGGGTTTGTCTTTCTGGCGGCTCAGTAAATATTAGCTAGGACATGGCGCCAGCCAATTTGCAACTTTGCTGTAGTCATACAACAGCTTATGGGAGCTATGGTTCATAAAAAACATTTATCCTTACAGATACCCACATTAAGTTCCTGATGATCTGGGGCTCGTTGATAATCTTTAACAATCCCCTAGGCCTGGACCACTCCTTGCTTTCTACATGATTGCTTGCACGGTCTGTTTCAAGATAGAACAGTGGAATGGATCACACGGAAATTCTTCCGCTTCCCCTACTCACAAAACCCAGACAGCTGGTAGCAGGTTAGAGTCAGATGGCCAGAGGTAACTGTATAGGGGCAGTAGGAACAAATGAAGAATTGGAATTACACGTGGCACTGTGCAAACCAGAAGCAGCTGGGGAGGGATGCTTCCTCAGAGCAGAAAATGAGAAAGAGTGCAAAGTGCACATGGTACACTTAGATGAACAGATGGCCCCAGCACTCAGAGCCTCTGGCTCCAACCCCTTCCTGGTAGCAACCAGTGGAAAGTGGGAATTTTAAACATGTCCAGTGGTCCAAATGAATTAGATAGCTCCCAGTGCACAGTCTGCTTGACCGAATCAGAGTGGCCCATCAAAGACAGTGAAAGCTCTGAGGCAACGACAACAACTCTGGACATGAAAAGCTTTCTGCTGCTAACTTAATGCCAGAATGGGGAGCCCAGTGCCCAAAGGTCACTTCCAGGTCAACTCTGCAAGGTCTAGTCAAGTAGGGTTCAGTTGTGGATCTCCAAAATCCAAGTTGGAAAGAGGTCACACTGAATAGATTCAATTGCTGGGGCAAGTTCTAGCAATGCTGTAAAAAATTGTTTTGATTGATGAAAAATTTGAAGAAAAAATGCTAGCAAAAAATAGACTACATTATTCCCAGCAGAGCTGAAGAAAAGATGTCCAAACTCCTAGGGCAACAGCAAAAAAAAAACCCACGTTGATATTGGGGGTTATCTTGGGCTGAACTACTGCTATTTTGTTTGTCAGTATCCAATCCTCCTGTAGGTGGCAGTATAACTGAAGGTAAATTACTTTCTGTGTCATTCAATCAACAAGAAAGAAATAAAGAGATAATATGACTAGTTGCTCTAGGGTACAGCCTTAATGTACACAATAAAAAAAACTGATGGCCTAAGAAGTTCAGTAGTACAGATTTAATGCTGTGATAAGAATATGGAGAGTGGGCCTAAACAAATAATGAATTGGCAAAAAGGAAATATGTAGGGTTCAAGTTAGCAAATCCTTTACAACTGCCACGACTAATTTGGCAGATGAAACTGCTTAAGCAAACATCCAAGTTCAATCATGCCTAGAGGGTTATACAGACAGCTGCACAATCCTTAATATATTCATTTGGACAACACAATTTATAGCTTGAAGATAAAATAAAGCAGTAACAGGAAGAGTCTTAATGAGCAGTTAACTTGAATAAATGGATTCAGCTTAGGTATTTGCTTGGCAGGTGTTGCTGTACAGATTTACATCATTCTGGTTTTGAAAGTAGTGAAATCTGAAGTATTGGAAATATAAAAAGATTTATACACATTCCCCTTCGCTTTACACAAAGTTAAAAACTATCCAAAGATTAGATTATTTTTCATCAATCTACTGGTGCATAAACATGCATTCCTGGAGTGATGGAGTATGCAAGTTTATGCAATGAGTGGGCATGCTAAGTGTCAGTCTTACCTCAACAAAAAAGAAGTATTTAGCTGGGAGAATCCAACCCAGTCAATCAACTCTTTCCCACACCCAGGCCTGCCAGATATGAAGATATCCAGACAGCAGTTGTTGTCTGAGCAAACTGGCTGATTTGGACATTATCTATATGTACCTCAACAATGGTTTAGGAAGAGATTTTTTACTTGCATTATTTAATAAAACCATTTTGAAATCCATCAATAAACAAAAAGGTATGACTTATTAAAACTGGAACAAAGACCATTCCCTAATGTGAACTTGAAATCAAACTGGTTACCGTTGCCTGCAAGTTTATATACATCAGGCCCACTATCAATCAAAAGCAAGGTGGACCTGATGGGTAACTAGTGTTCCAGACTGGGCTTTGCTCACCTAACTATAATGCTCTTTGGGCATGCCTCATCTGTGGGACAGGCACAGTGCTTTGAGAGGGAGCTCTGCAATGGATATTTCAGCCTCAGTTCCACCACCTCTTACAACAAAATTATGAAAGGGTCCTTTCACACGGGTGTTCCATTTTTTTCATCATTTCAGTCATGTTTTTTTCAAGAAAAAAACGGGTACGTTTACATTCGTTTTTTCATCCGTTTACATCTTTTTAGTCATCAGCTGTCAGCTGAATGTACAAAAAAAAAAAAAAAAAAAAAATTGCCGGCAAATAAAAAATAGTTTAAAAAAATGTTGCGGGGGTCCCCCCCTCCATCCATACCAAGCTCTTTGGATCTGGTTTCGATTTTGAGGGGAACCCCCCACGACAAAATTTAAAAACAAAATGGCGTGGGGTTGCCCCCAAAATAAAGGACTCGTCAAAGACTGTCTCCTGTCTTTTTTCACACTACACTTTTTTTTTTGTGAATGAGTAGAAGTACCATGTACCCCAAACTCATTTGCATAGGGGGGAGGGGGAGGGATATGGGTGCCCCAAATACCGATAAGCCCCCTGTCTCCCCCCTCCCCCCTTTGCTGACCTGCTGGACTGCATATAATCTATTGACATCTGTTTTTTTTTGTCCGTTCCGATTTATTTTGCGGAAGAAAAATAGGTTTTTTTCTGTTCAAAAAAATGGATGTTAACAGATGCGGACATTAACAGATGTTCATCCGTTTACACCCACAAGCCCACAGAAATACATGGGGGTCTGTTTTTCATCCGTAAAATGGACAGATAAAAAATGGACATACATAATGCCCATGGGAAAGGACCCTAACTGTTCCCGACAGGTACAGTGGGGCAAAAAAGTATTGTCAGCCACCAATTGTGCAAGTTCTCCCACTTAAAAAGATGAGAGAGGCCCTTTAATTGGCATTATAGGTAGACCTCATCTATGAGAGACAAAATGAGAAAAAAAATCCAGACAATCACATTGGCTGATTTGGAAAGAATTTATTTGCAAATTATGGTGGAAAATAAGTATTTGGTCAATATCAAAAGTTCATCTCAATACTTTGTTATATATCCTTTGTTGGCAATGACAGAGGTCAAACGTTTCCTGCAAGTCTTCACAAGGTTGGCACACACTGTTGCTGGTATGTTGGCCCATTCCTCCATGCAGATCTCCTCTAGAGCAGTGATGTTTTGGGGCTGTCGCTGGGCAACACGGACTTTCAACTCCCTCCAAAGGTTTTCTATGGGGTTGAGATCTGGAGACTGGCTAGGCCACTCCAGGACCTTGAAATGCTTCTTACGAAGCCACTCTTTCGTTGCCCGGGCGGTATGTTTGGGATCATTGTCATGTTGGAAGACCCAGCCAATTTTCATCTTCAATGCCCTTGCTGATGGAAGGAGGTTTGCACTCAAAATCTCACGATACATGGCCCCATTCATTCTGTCCTGTACATGGATCAGTCGTCCTGGTCCCTTTGCGGAGAAACAGCCCCAAAGCATGATGTTGCCACCCCCATGCTTCACAGTAGGTATTGTGTTCTTTGGATGCAACTCAGCATTCTCTCTCCTCCAAACACGACGAGTTGTGTTTCTACCAAACAGTTCTATTTTGGTTTCATCTGACCATATGACATTCTCCCAATCCTCTTCTGGATCATCCAAATGCTCTCTAACAAACTTCAGACGGGCCCGGACATGTACTGGCTTAAGCAAGGGGACACGTATGGCACTGCAGGATCTGAGTCCCTGGCGGCGTAGTGTGTTACTGAGGGTAGCCTTTGTTACGTTGGTCCCAGCTCTCTGCAGGTCATTCACTAGGTCCCCCCCGTGTTGTCCTGGGATTTTTGCTCACCGTTCTTGTGATCATTTTGACCCCACGGGGTGAGATGTTGCATGGAGCCCCAGATCGAGGGAGATTATCAGTGGTCTTGTATGTCTTCCATTTTCTAATTATTGCTCCCACAGTTGATTTGTTCACACCAAGCTGCTTGCCTATTGCAGATTCAGTT